ATGTGAAGAGTTTGGTTAGTGAAATGGGTATTTATAGGTAATAGAAGTATGTAGTCTCTCGACATGGGTCGAAGATATTTGTCCTTTGACGGCAAAATAAATTAGAAAAATATTAGTAAATGGGAGTTTATGATTGAGATTAGTACTGACAAAAATAGTGTTCATGTGGGATAAAGCTGTCACTGACATAACTCTGATGATGTTGCCCTAAATGACAAAATCTAATCATCTCCACTCCTATTTTTTCTTACTATGTAAAGTGCTCTTTTTTTTTCACATTGCTGATTTACTATTTATATTTAAACTTTAAACGTAATGCAAACTGCATCTTATTACAATTTTTTATATGTTTTTATTACAAATTTTTTTTTTCTGTTTGTATTCCGACGAATTTTTCTTTTCTTGTGAAACTCAACCGGAAATTTTGAATGGAGGACAAAACATATGTATAAAGTTGTTGTTTTCTGGTTTTCATACTATTATGTATAAAATTAAAACAATAAAAACTTATACAGAACAAAAAGATCTGTAACTATAGCATATTCATGTAACAGAATATTTTATATAAATGAAAAAATCTGCTCATTAAACAATTTGAACTTTTACATATATTTGAGTATATCGCTTTCGCTTTGGTCGATCAAAGTTAAAATCTACAAAAGCGAAAACAATTAATGCATATATCGAAAATGATACCATATCGCCATATATATTTTACCATAATTCATGTACGTCGTTTTGAAAATAAATTTTGGATTTTGTGTTGATCTTTTTCGTTTGTTAAATTTTATATTACGTTGATATCTTACCATGTAGGTCTCAGTGTCTAAACTACCCATAGCGGTTGCGACCACGTGGCAGCTATATTTGTCCATATGTTCTTAGATAGCTAGCTAGATATTTTATTTTATATTAGCAACGTTGGTGTTTATTGGTTACTTTTTAAATTTTATGTAATTTTGTAATAGTAGCTAACTATTGTCATTTGTCAACCCCCACCGTTACCAAACCTTCTATTCCCTCTGTTTCAAAATATAAGTTGTTTTAACAAAAAACACAAATATTAAGAAATTACTTTTCAACTAAAAAATATTATTTAATATATCTAATAAAAATAATTTGACCAATCACACAAAAGACTGCAAAATACTAATGGTCACACAATATTCAATAAAGTTAAAAGTACCTAGTATTGT